CACATGCATATGTGACTCGTAAAACAACGAACCCAGAAACAGATACCAGGAACCTGAAAACGTTGAAAAAAGTCAATGACAATGGACTTGGTTCAGACATTGCAAACATAGTGTGAAACAAAACGAAAAAACTGATTCGGCGACAAATATACCATTTGACTAATGGATCTGTTTCATGTGTGTTGTGTTTCTCTCTTCTCGATACTATTTAACCATCTCTTTTTTACTTTTCGGCTAAAGACACACACACACGAATTTTCGTTAATCAAGTATTATTAATTGCTCTTTCTGAATCAAATACACGCACACTTGAAAGAATGAAATATTTGGATAATAACAAAAACGAAAAACATCTGGAATACGTAATCCTAATTCATTCGAGTAATGGTGATGGCGAATTGGTTCATATTGAATTGTAAAATCATTGTCGAGTTATGGTTTAATTTTTTAAATCAAAAAATCAGCTGCCCATGATTATGATGGATCAGAATGGATCACCAAGGCGACATTACCACCCCATTCAACGAAACTCATTAAAATTATCAATGGTGAAACTTTAATCGAATTAACAGTAATGAGTAACTTGTTTTTGTTGGAAACAAAACTATGGTAAATTCTCAAGAATCACAAACTCATCATGCAAGTGATGGATGATATAGTAGTGAGTATAATTAACAACAGCCTAGAAAAATGTTCACATTGACTGATGATTTTTAGAAACAAAAAATTGCAAACTCCAAATCAGAAAAAGAAAAAAAGAGAAACGGATTTTAAAATCAAATCATCATCACCAATTCAAGTCAAAAGGAAAGCATTAAGAATTTGTGAACTTTTTTTCCGAAAAAGTAATTTGTTTCCAGTTTTCCAAACATTTCCAAACATCAAACACACATACACTGGTGTTCGATACAAAATGTTCCCTTGTTCTTTTTTTCCATCTATGGGCTATAAACGAAAAAAGAACTTGGACGCTATTTGTCTTTTATTTGTGTGGATGTTTTTGCACACTCTGTATGCGAACAACGACGACAATAACGATGATGATGATGATGATGGTTGAAGACTTGAAAAACCGTTTCAAGATAGCAAGTGTGAGCAAAGAAATTGCAGTTTTGTTGATAAGAATTTAATTTATTTCACACACACACACACATTGATGGGCCCGGCAAAATATAAAATTTTCTTTTCCTTTTTTTGCTTTGAAAATGGAACCATTGATGATGATTGAGGAGTGTGAAATTAAATTTAAAAATATTTCTTCTGGTGCTTTTGGCTAGAGTTTTCCAATCATTGACCAATGTTCAAATGTTGTTTGCATGCCATTGCACACAGTTGAAAGAGAGTTGGTGATGGTGATTGATTTTATTTCGTTCAATGATCAATAATCAATAATGATGTATACGTGGAAAAAACTAAAACAATTGAAAAATTTAATTTCCACCAACAATTGGTGGTAATTTTATTATCATCCATTAAATTGGACAGTTCGATTCGTATCGATTGTTTATCACAAGCAATTCTTACGAAATCCGTTACATTTGTCTATGCATCGGCAGATTTCTCTTTAGTTACTTGAACCAAATCAACACTGATACAATCAACAACAAGATAATAAACTGTGACACTAATAACAAACGACAATTGGCCATTTGTTATTGCCAATTTATTGATAATTTCCAATATTTAATGTTGAATTTGGCAAATTTTTGTTGTCCGTCTATATATATGTGAAGGATCAAAGTTCATTTTGCCGGGACTCGATTTTTAAAGTTGAACAAATGTCATATTTATTACTATTGTAGACATCTAATTTTTATAATTGACAACGACTTTCCAAGGGAAAAAATTTGGGCACGTCATTAAAAAATGCCGAATCTAGGCTGATGATGGATCTAATTAAATCTACTCACGAAGTAAGATTGAAATGCAGCAGCAGCAGCAGAGAAAATGTATAAATTCCAGAAATATTTTGTTGCAGTTCAAGAACAACATTGGAATTTCGATCACAACAAGAATAATTCAATACAAGGTATACCTATCTAGAGATGTAGAAAAGGAAAATTCAAACAGAAAGATGAACATGATGGCCCATTTCGAAACATTCCAATCGATACGGATAACGGTGTTGATGCTAGCTTAACTATGCGAGAATTCAAAAATCGTTCAATTAGCTTGAAAAAAAGTCAAAGACTGGCTTCTGATTGATTTTGAGAATCCTTTTTGGATTATTGCGTGCTTTGCTTTAAAAGAAATGGAAAACAACAACAACTTGAACAGGGATTGTTTTCATCAGCATATCATATCAGTCCACTGTAATTATTATTTTGTCGACCACTACACACACACACACACACACACTATTGGTTTCTTAATTTAACAATGTATATTCTCAACATGTCTACAATCGAATTGAATCCAATCCGTGATCGGTTGTTGTTGTTGTTGTTGTTTTATTATTTTTCTAGTAAACCAACATTGAACCGTACCATTCTCTAGGGTCTTGGGTTTTCTTATTACACAGTGCAATGTCTGTTTCTGTTAATTCTCAAATTGTTGTTGTTTATGTTTTCTGTCTAGTAGTATTTTAGCAGTGATAAAAAAAACTGGCAACAATTTATCAATTGCATACAAACCATACAAAATAACAAAACAAGCGCCTCAGTCATCATTATCAGCAATTTCAGAAAAGAGAAAAGGCTACAACCAAAAAAAAAAAATAAAATAATCAACTGGCAAAAATATAAACAAACTGATTCAATCAACTCGATCCACCCGAATAGCATAGATAACGTAGATATTCATCGCCTAAAAATTTCATTCAACAAACTGACTGACCAATTGACCAATGTTGGCAGCACTATAATTGTTGGAAAATAAATTTCAAGAAAATAAAAAGAAATAAAGTTTCTATCGACAAGATTAGTGCAAGTCTTGGCTCATAATTTATATACGTGAATCACCAGAATTGATCCAAATCACGATTTGTTGGCTGTAATAAAATTTATATGAAACCAAATTCCGAACGGAAACACACGCGAACATACAAAGTAAATGATGATATAGATACGTGCCAAACAAGCTAATTGTCGAACGTGTAAACATTAAAAATTTACGATTTAATGTCGATGTTGATGGTGTTTGTGTGGCTGACAAACACGCAAACACTATCATCAACCAATATACATGTATATTGAAACAATAGCACTATTATCATCATGTACGAAAACAAATCTCTCATGTGATACGAAGGCGATGACTTTTACTATGAATATTTCCCCTAGTATATCATCAAATAGAATCCACATATGGCACCATTTCACGATGACGATTTGACGATGAAATCCAAGAAAGAATCATTGTTCCATTGTTTCCTCTTTCAACTTTTTCAATTCGTGATGATAACAACGTTTTGTACACAACAAATGAAAGAATAAAACATTTCCCAATGCTGGATAGTGTCGACTGAAAAAAACATCATCATGTCATGTTCATGTATAGAATTCATATTTGAAAATGAAAATTCCAACCATAACAATAATGATCATACGTGCATTCTCAAATTCCAAACCCAGAATGAATGTGGATCATCACATCAATCCATTTCATTTCTTTTGCCCATGTATAGATAAACAATTCATTAATTACACCGGATGGCAGCATTTTCTCAAAGCTGCCATTATTGAGCAACGTGCAGAGCACCAGGAAAATTAATTTAAATGACTGAATTTCAAGTTGAGCCATTTCGAAACTTGAAACTTTCAAACTGCTTTGTTGAGTGAATGATGGTGATGGGCAGAAAAATTTGCTTTTTTAAAATGTTTACAATTAAAGAAATGAACAAGTTTTCATTCTTATATCAAAATAGAATAGAATAGAATGGCTTTGCAAAAAACTTTGAATATTAAAATGTTCCAAAAACCGTTCAATGAACCCCATTATCATATGGAATGATGCAAAACATCAATTTGGATAATGCACAAGAATGCATGAGGAAATACAAATACAATCTCGAATGTGTCACATGTGAATCAATCAGCTATATGTTGATCAAATCGTACAAACACTACAGATTGTTATGATTGATAGATAAACTGAACAAAAAAGTACATCTTTATTTGAAAACAATTGCCATGATATCCGAGTGCGCGTGAGAAACAATCCAATGTATGCATTTCTGCGTAATTTGAACGTACAAATTTGCAATTCTATTTTCGGAATCAAATGTACATTGTACAGAGAAAAAAAAAGTACATACATTCTACAGTTGCAAATTGCAATCAAACATATGATTGCTGGAATGTTACTTTTTTCCATCAAATTCGATTGGAAAAAAATGATGCACACACCACTTCTCATGATTATTGGGAGCAGAGAAAAATATTGAAAATTTGAAAAAAAACTGCAAAAATCTAAACACCACTATTTAATCAATTTATTGGAAATCAATCGATATTTGATATGTCATATGGGTATTTAGGGTACATCAGTTCGAGTCATGTGCATGTCATATCCGGTCATGTTATCTCAACCCCAAAAAAAAATTGAAGCCAAATAAATCCAAACATGTCATGTCCAGATTATTACTGTAGTTATATCGAAAAATGATTGAACGATCGGATGATTTGCCCACTCATTGTTATGAAACGCAACTGAATGGCTGGCGTTTTCATCAGTGTACCTTAGCAACAAAGTCCAACAATCAAAATTGGTTGGCGTACCATCAAAAAATCAAAAAATTTTAATGATTGTGTGATGATCAGCGTATATACAACAATGCTATGACTGAGTGCTTGTTTGGCTTCTTGTTCTGGCAACCAGAAAAAAGAACAATCCGGTTTTTTTACTACTCGCATCAAACACAATATCCTTGTTGCTTGTTTCCATGTGTTTGTGTGCTGCTTTCACCATACACATCTACCAAGCACTCACACACGCAAACACATGCATAACACATGATCATAATAATGAATAAGACTGATAGTGATCGAGGAAAAAATAGTATCGATATGAATGTGTGTTTGAGTGAAACTGGTATCACAACTTTTTTTCTTATCTTAAGTGTCCACAAATTCAGTGAATGATTGAATAAATTGTTGAATAAATAAACAAGGAAAAAATATGCCAACAACCATCATTGTATGATGACTTTGTGGCAAATTCAATGCCGACATACGATAGTGAACCCAAATAACAATCATCAACACCAGAGTGTTTTGCATCGTGGCATATAATATCGAGTACAAACAATTTGTGATTATGATCAAACTGTGATAATCATGTTGATCATCAAAACAACATAACACTCCACCCAATCGAATGACAATCACATGTAACAAGTAACAAGTGATTCAAACGAAATTGACAGATGAAAAACTAGTATATAACCAAATGATCGATCCATTTTTGATCCTGTGTTTGTGTTTTGTTTTAGTGTTGAAAATATATTGAAGACCACTGGAAAAATGTATCGATATCAACAAACTACATTATCATCAATGGTGAAATTGGCCATTGCCACTGATCAATCATCCAAGGTGGCCACTCGAAAAATTCCCGTCATGTTTGTTGCGGTTCAACAGAATCGACAAAAATCAAGCTGCATTCAGTCCGGCCAGGTATTGAATGTTGCCAGTGTGACAAAACAACTTTATAATGAAAAACATTTCGAGGTAAAAACATTTGTTCACTAATCATCATCTTAATCTTGTAATTCAATTCAATTTAGGCAATATTGAAAGCACCTGTTGCCTTGCCATTATCACGAAAAATTGATTCGACAACTGAAACGCCAAAAAAAGTTCAATTACCATCCAATATCGTTATGCGTTATTGCCCAGATGGCGAAAATAGCGAAGCACAGAACATGGCCATAACCAAAACACGACAATTATCGAAACGGCCATTACTAGTAATGCTTGCATGGTTGGAAGCGAAAGAAATTCACATGGAAAAATATCGTCAATTCTGGTTCGAACGTGGCTACGATATTCTATCCGTGCGAACACTACCACAGCATTTGTTACTGCCAAAAATAGGTGGACGTAATAATGCTGTGAAAATGATTGAATTTCTCACCAATCATCATCTGGTTTATGATGAAATTCTAATTCACGGATTTTCTGTCGGTGGCTATCAGATGGGAGAAATTTTTCTTTATTTATTGGAAAATAAAGATAAAAATGAACGCGTACGACATGTCTATGAATCTTTGAAAGGAATTATTGTCGATTCATTAGTATATGCACAGGATTGTCCGCCCGGTGCATCAAAAGCCATAACGACAAGTCCCATTTGGCAACCCATGTTGGAGAAAACAATCGATGCATTTTTAAAGGCAACCAAATCTTTCACATATGACCGTTATCTCAAAGTGCAGGATATAATGTTTGCTAATGAATCCAAAATACCTGGTAAGTGTGTGTAAACTTGTTCAGACTCGAATCGAATTTCACCCCTTCTACACTCGTAGGATGCATTCTACATTCAAAAGCTGATGTTGTCAGCAGTATTCCGCATAATATAGAAATATATCATGGATGGAAATCAAGAAATCCAGAAAATTCCGAGATCCATTGCTGGCATGATGCATTGCATGTATTGATTTATAAAAAATATCCCGAACAATATACCAAAGTTGTTGATGAATTTGTTGCAAACAAAACGAAAATCACCAAAGCTAAATGGCCAAAACCAAATAAAAGACAATAACTGAAGGAAACGCATAGAGTGAGAAGAAAATTTCATGTCTAACCGGTTGATTACCATATCATCATCATATTGATAATAATAATAATAAGGCTCACTGTTCTCGGGGGTTTGGTCAGTTTTTTATGTGATTGATCAGTCAACTTGATCAAGTTACTGACCCTACATTATTAATTGCTAACTGCTCCATTGCCCGAAAATACTGACCAATTATATAGATCTCTGATAATAATTGTAATGTAATTGCAGATCATGGTGTTCTCGTGTGATATATGTATAGTATATAGCTCTTTATTTGAATGTATTTTCATTGTTTTAAATTGTAATAAATGAATCAATCAATCACCCTTTGCTCATTGCTAACATGGTTCAACATGGCGTGATTTTTGTTCAAATGATCTGATCGAATCATGATGATTCAAGGATTCACACCCAATACACACAACACACACACTTATCATATCACATCACATCACATCATATATTGATCAAACAAACAAAACAAAAACCTTGGCAATTTTTTTGTTCTGAAAATAAAATGAAAATATCGAATCGAATAAATGAATAATCTTAAAAAATGAAAAATTCTAGATACAAGAGAATTATTTTGAAATTAAAAAATTCACATTTTTGATAAATTTCGATTTCTCTGGAGAGTTAATACATTCGTTTTTGTAAAATTTGTGGCAAATGTCACATGTTCAAACAAAAAAAAAATAAATAAATGTCGAATAACGCCGCAAATTAGCCTGGCTTGAATGACTGAACGATGTTGGTGGCTATCACAAGTATGATGATGATGATTTTTGCTTCCAACAAAATAAGGTTCATTTATTCAGCTCATTAACTTTAGATTTTATAATCAACATCCAGGACAGGCAAAATTGGACTCCACATTGAAATTGTTTTGCTTTGAAACTTTTTTTTCTGCGTTATATTCTGAATTCTCTGGTGAATACGAAACGAAACTCGGAATAAAAAAATCCAACAACAACAACGAACCACCATCCTCAAAACAACAAAACAACAAAAATACAGAGAGAAAGTTTGACCCATTGAAATTTTTCTGTTCAACATGAAAATTTGTCTTTTCTGCTAAATGTAAAGTGAAATAGGTGAGTCCTTGTCCATTGTTTTTGTTTTTGATTTGCAATAATTCATATGAAATAATGAGAATGAAGAATTGGGCTTTTCATTTCTCCAATCTCGAATCTCAAATAAGTAGACCAGGCCACAGAACAACAACTTGATATTATAATTGGTAATACATTCCAATCTTTTTCCGATAAACAAGGCAAATGCACAAGACTAACTGAAACTATAGGCAGCAATAAGCAGCTTTAAAATTTGTTTAATCATCATCATCATCATCATCATCATTATTTGCATTCATTCAAACAAAACGGCGAAATTTTGAGACAAAAAACAAACAAACGAAATGGAAAAAAAATTTGGACCGACCGGCGTCATACAATTATTCCACAATAATAACTAACTATTACTAACCGATTTAGTATTTTTTCTGGGAAATGAAATCTTTTATTCTCATCTCTTTTCACTATTTCACATCATCATCATTGAAACAAGTTCCAAACAATGAGAAAAAAATGATTGGAAACTTTTTCGCATTCTATATATTGATCTTGGCATCACATTTGAACTGGAAATTGGCAAAAAAGTGAGCGCAAACGCCGATCAAAACAAAATGTTCATTAGCTGTGTTAATGTGTTTGGAAAATTGTTGTTCCAAAACACACAAACACACCATCCACCGATTATGAAATTTTTTTTCTTGTAAAAAAGTTATCTATTCACTCTAAAAGCTTTGACTACATACGATCATTTGTTCTTTGGTAAAGCAGTCGAATCGAAAATAAAATGGAAAAATTTCATACAACAATCTATGACAGAAAAAGAGATCTCTCTGGATGCATTCAATTCAACTCTTTTTTTGGCTTCGGTTCCTAACAAAGAAACCGATAAAAAAGACTTTGGTATTAATTTGACTATCAGCATCCATTCTGTTCATTCATTGGATGAACCAATCAAACAGTCTGAAAGAAATGAATTGATCAACAACAAAATGAACATTCGATACACTAATGAGAATCAAAAGAAGAAAAACTATTCAGAAATAAATTCCCGGAATCCTTGCTTTACAGTGAGATGCAAGTTGCAACAAACTGATTCTTAATAACTGGCAAAGATTGTTTATTTTTGATTCACAAACAAATCCCATCTAATTCCAATTGAATTGACTTGCAAAATGGAATCATTTCCCATACACACGCACACAGAAACTGATCACAACCACTATAAACTCGTGTTTGAAAAGTTTTGCAACCAGAAAAATCACCAAAAACACACGCAATAAATGGGTCATCATGAGCTAAATTCTAATATTGAAATATGAATGATGAATACTAACAACATGGTGGTCATCACTTTAATGATTCTCTCAGTATCTGATCTGATCTTTCCATTGTGCCGCATATATCCGCAGTAATCCGCTTATTTGATTCGATTGGTTACTGGAATAAATGAGAAAAAGAAAATCATGGATTACGTTGTCGAATTCATATAGATCAAAGCAATGATTATCGTGATGGAGAAATCAACTAGGCCCATAAAAAAGTTTGAAATTGCCTGAATGATGATGAACATGAGTTGAAAAGTTTAAATTTTCCAAACGAAAAGAACAGAAAACTTTTTCAAAAATATGGTTTGCCAACCAAAAACATAATGGAACCATCAGTTTGATACAATTGTTTGCCAATTTCTACCACAATAATATCTATCGAGTGTGTGGTTTGCCAATCAGTCAGTCAGCAATTAGATTTACTCGTATGACATGTGCGCATTCATTGTATGTGAATCATCATCATCATCATCATCATCATCAACGTCGAGTGGAAAGAAAGAAAGAAATTATGAGAAAACAAGATAGATAAATGGTTGATGAACATGACATCCATAACATTCACTGCTCACCAAACTATTTGGCATCTAACAGAAATCATTGGCTTGGCATCCATTCAAAAATATCATCAAAAGAATTTAATCACACTGTTTGTTTGGCTGGTCCTCAAACTCTCATTCATGAACAGAATTTGACTCGAAACAACACACAACTAGCTAGTAGTTTCTTGCTGAAAGTAATCCATTCCCCATAATAGCACCCGGTAATAGATGCCGATTATCATATTTTTGTTTGTTTGTTTGTTTGTTTCACATGGGTTTCACATACGACATTGTAATGTTAGATCTATTTTGATTTTCTTATTATTACCGCTCTAACACATGGATCTATGGCCATATATTGCCGAAAATAATGTTCTGAAAGCAACGCAAACAGCACGAAGGAAAAGAATATATTATTCATTTTGACGTCGTAAGTTGTTTATATATCAGTTTGTTCCTTATTATATGGATGATGATGGTAATTATTGATGATGCTGGCCATATGGATGACGATGCAAAAAATGCATTTTAGAGCCAGAAAAGAAAAAAAAGTCAAACAGCAGTAATACAAGTTGTCATCATCATCATCATCATCATCATCATCATCATCATCATCATTATTATTATCATCATTATCATCAAGAATCGAGAATCTTCATTGCCGAAAAAAATTAATGTCGAATCGGTTTTTATTGTTATTGTAATCGATGATGGTGGTGGTGGTGGTGGTTACTGTTGCTGATGCCCCATGTATGAATTCTTGTTCATTTCATGTTATTTCAGTGTGTGTGTGTGTATGTGTATTCAATATTATACAACAACATCAAAATGAAGGAAAATAGACAGGCATATAGTAAATATTGCTATCCTCTAAACGGCCACTATCGATAGCGACATGATCCATAGTCGATCCAAAACCAAACCAAACAACAACACAACTAACCGACCAACTAACAACAACAACAACAACAAACAATAATAATAACAGAAGACACAATGTGAAAGAAAAAATAAATGAAAAAACGAGATAAACAGCAAAAGAGAGAGAGAGAAACCCGATTTGGACAGAATCGATCTTTTAGAATAAAAAGACACCAGCAAATATCAGAAATAAAATTTCATCAGTTCTCCCATGCCACCATACACACAGACAGACATTAAATTCTGCATTCTGTGGAGTTTTGTATTGGCCAGTTTGTTTGGTTTACCGTTTTTGTTGTTGTCGTTGTTGGACGTATATTTGGGTTGGCCATTCACGATTCGATGCTGTGTATGATGATGTGGTTGGATACGATTTTCGATTGATGATGTTTTTTCCGATTTTCTCGTTGGTGGGCGTAGGAAGGGAAAGGAAAAGCTAGAAGCATCGGTGAATGTTGTGACAGAAGAAAAAATTTGGTTTCGCAAATGGCCTTGTGCAATATCATTAATTCAATGATGAAGTGGTGGAACCAAAACAAAGTATCTGGGTGTGTAGTTCGAAATTTCGGTCGTCAGATATGTTCAAGAAAGACTTGCGCATCATAGCAATTTTTGGCCGAATAGCGATATCAGTATTGAATAGAAGAACAGAAGCGCCGCATCATTTTTGAATTCTCTTGCCACTACTGTTCAATAGACACATCACTAGAATGCTGCTCCCATCTACCATGATTATCGAGGACGTTATTCAATCCACAAAACATGAAACATACAGGAATTTATTTGAAAACAAGTCTCCTCTCTGTCTGTCTCTGTCTGTGTCTGTGTGTGTGTGTGTGTGTGGAGGAATTCTGCTTCAAGAATAGCAGAAACCAACAATGAATGAATTGAAAATGAAATTGCGCGCGCTATATCTATGGTGTAAAGAAACTACAATAACGACAACAACAGCAGTTTTCATTGAATGTTGTATCGGGAATCGTTAGTTTGTATTTTTACAAAAATGTTTGTCATCGATTCTCCTCAAATTGTTTTTGTTTTCTAATTCCGATTCATCATTGTCTTCCTCATTTGTCAATTGTCTAATCGTAATTATAAACTCATCATCATTTTCAAATTGCAAATTACAAATCTCTTCTCTCTCTCTCTGTGTGTGTGTTTATATGGCAATCAAGTTCAAAATTCATCTCACACATCCACCCACACGCACGCATACACAAACAAAAGACTGTTGAATTTCAATTAATCGCATTGATCGTGTCATCAGTTTTTTGTTATATGTATCATACATGGTTTGTGTATGTGATTTTTTAAATGAAAAAAATTGAATCATTCAATCGATTGATTGGTTTATTTTCTTGTTCATAAATTGATTACAAACACACACACACACACATGACATGACATGACATGACCTGATTTGCTTGTGATAAACCTGATAATTTCACAAGTGCATCTTTGCTATCATTCAGAGCAAAAAAGATTCATTCATTATGTCTGTCTGTCTGTGTGAGATCATCAAATCCAATTTTTCTTTTTTCTCTTGGTTCTCCACTGTTGTTGCCCAAAGCTTAACACAGAAGCAAAGACGAAACATGTCTCGAGCCTTGAAACCGACAATAGAATGAAAAGAAACGAGAACATTCTTGATGTTTTTTGCTCTAAGAATATTCATTCATTGTTCGGATCTTGATTTTTGATTCTGGGATCATTTCTGGATCATTAGTAAGATTCGTGAAATCATCTTCCGTCTTGTTCATTCTTTCTCTCTCTCTCTCTCTGTGTGTGTGTGTGTGCCTTACACTATACACACTCGACACATTTTTTCCCATTTCTATGTTCGTGATTTTCGGGCAAACCTCTCTCTCTCTCTCTTTTTATCTTTATGTTTGTTTCGTTCATCATCATCATCATCATCGTCAGAAGCATCGTAATATAACATATAACATTTGTCTAATTTTGTTCGTTCATTCATTGCTTGGTTCCTTTGCATCATTTTTATGGAATTTCTATTTCTATTTAGAATAAATTCACTTATATGTCAAACAAAGTATGATAATAATGATGATCGGCAGCCACGTATTCTTCAATCATCATCATCATGTGCAATTCATATAGGAATTATAATAATTTGAATTTGTATGGTGAGCATCGAAATTTGTTTTCATTCATTGTTGATGATGTGCACTATTAATAGTTTGTCAATGTGTTCATTCGTCCATTCATTCGATTATCATCGTCATCATTTTATCTGATTTTTTCTCACAGTTCCTTGTTGTTGTTGTTGTTGTTGATTATCCAATATATTTTCCATCCATTTATGTATATTTTATATCAGTTTTTCATGTTACAAAGTTCAACAACAATAACCAGATGATGGTGATAATGATAATATGGAACAACAATGGAGCAGCAACAACGCAAAAAATCAAATCTGTCGCCCTTCGTCGTCGATAGGCCTGATACAATCGCATGAATGCTAATTTGACTTTTGGATGTCTCTGTGTGTCTGTGTGTGTGTGTGTATAGTTTGGCCAAAATAGTCATCATCAATGCGAATATAGAAGGTATTTTGGATCAATGGCCATAGATTGGATTGCCAATTTTTTCATCATTTGTGTTGTTCACATGTGATCCAGCCAATTTTCTTTATCGTGCCGAATTCGATTCTCCATTCTTTTCTTTTCATTCATTGAAATAACAATCGTTTTTGATGTGAACCAGAAACAAACACACAGCACTGAGAAATTGAGAAATGAAATGAAATGAGAATTGACACAAACACACACAAACGCAGAAAGATAGATTAAAGATTGAGATATTCCAATGTGGATAGATAGATAATAAGAAAACACATCATTTCGAATTGTAGAAAGGGAAAGAGAGAGAGAGATGAGAAACAAAAAATGCAATGGGTAACTTTTCTTGATTTTTTTTTTGTTTTGTTTGTTTTGTTTCTTCTTCTTTTTCACTTTAGGTTCGGTCCCATACATTTCCTTTGTTGTGCAATTGGGTCTGGTGTCGTTTTCATTGCTGTTGAACTTAATTGATTCATTCGATCCAAATTGAAGCTGACATCATAGAACACATTCAACGACAACAAAAAGGCAATGGTGATCATAAGAGGTGGAAAAAAATGGCCAAAATGACAAATTCGTTGGTTTAGTTTATTTCCTCCTGATACGTTACTTTATTATTGGCTTCACAGTTGTCATTATTCGTTAATGTCTATTCATTCGTTTGATGATATTTTCAATTCAATCGTCATCATTTGTCATCTACATTTGGTTGAAATGAATTGAAAAATTTTTCTTTTCAATCTTTCTTCACAATGATTCAGCAATAGTAGTTCATTATGATTTAGATGATGACGAGAACTTGTTAAATTCAATTGAATCAACGATGCTGCAATATACATGAACAAAAACAATGCGATAAATTCATATATGTTGTTCAAATAGACTATTTCGACTTAGCCCGGTGGATTTGAGTTGAAATTTTGAACTCTGTGTAATGTAAACAATTTCAATTATCATTCTGCTTCTGCAACTCATTGCTAAAAAAACCGCGAAACATTGGTGATGATAATTATTTTGAATTTGTATTTGTATTTCTTTTGTTTTTTTCTCACTTTAGCTCCAGGACATTCGAGGCGTTATATGTGTCATTCATTCACAATGAACTAGAGTGCAATTCCTGTTTTTTTTTATTTTAAATGAAAATTCATGGCTTGCTCAGATCCACGAACAAATCAATAAACACTACACAACAAAAAATATTGATTCCGATTGCGAGCATTATGATCATTAAATTTTTTCAACATACAATTTCTGAATGAAATGAATCGATATCTGACACCCAGGTGAATCAATTATTGCAGAAATGATTGACCAGACAATTAGCAACAATAATTTTTCGGCACACGCAAAGTCAACAGAAAAACACTTTGGTAACCGACCATAATGAATGTTTGTGTTTTCATCACTCACACAGTGAACATCAACAATAAACTCAATGAAGAATCGAATGACTGGATTGATTGAAAGTGATTCACTTTCACTGTGTGTGTGTGTGTTGTGTTTGATGAAGAGAAAAAAGTAGAAATTATTAGCTCATTAGGATGAATGATCTAAATATGTGCTGTTCACACCATATATCAAACGACAAACGCCAACCAAATGATGATGTTTTCATCTCGTCCTTTATCGAATGAATGTTGATCCCATGTGAGTGTGATTTCTCGGTGTGTGTGTGTGTTGTTTTGTTTGTTTATTTTCCTGTTTTGTCTCTGTTTTTGGGTGATGTAATTTGTGCAATATTTTGATGGCCAATATAAATGTCCAATCTGTTTTTGTTTGTGTGTCAAGTGCTGTTAAGTGTTGTTGTTGTTGTTGACCATTGACTCTTCCATCGATATAATGATGATTTGAATGTGATAGTGTTATTTGGATGATGTCAGCCGGTCATCCGTTTCATGCATCATGTCTGATCTTGTTTGTTGTTGTTGTTGTGGTTGTGTGAATATCGTTTCTTAATCATTCTCCAAGTAACATTATGTCGTCGTTGTTGTTGATGATAAACATCACTCATCAAACATTCAATTAGCATCCGCCTATTTTAATCAGCCATCAACTAAATAAAATCGACATAGTGACGCGCCCACTTTGTGTGTGTGATCATCAATCCAATATCATCATCATCATCATCATCATCATCATTAATAAGTCACATAGAACATCAACAACAACATGACCGCCTTCTAATCATATCATTGGGAGGAAAATCAATTTGCTCAACAAAATTCGCATCGATTAGATTCAATTTGATTTTTCATTCATCAACAACAGCGACAACAGTATTGATAATAAACACCCAAGTTTAATGGTAGGTGTTTGTTTCAATTTGTAGAATTCGTGTAATGAAAAATGCTTTTCACAAACCAATTGAAAACAAATTAAAAATTGACTATCATCAGAGTGAAATTAAACTTTTCCACAACAACAATGACAACGACGACGACCGGAAACGAATAGGAGATCATGGCGATGATTGTGTTTTGATCATTTCTCATTCTCGGAATAAAGAAAATGTTATTCTTGCTGTCTGTGTAACGACGATGAAAAAATGAAAAGTTTATTATTATTATTATTATTTGTCCGATTCGAATCGCATCGCATCGTATTATTATTATTATTATTATATTTATTTTTAATTTACTTTTCCATTCACTCGATTCAATTTTTTCTCTTTATCCTCAAGAATTCCAAAGAATTTTTTCATTCGTTTTTCCCATTTTTTATTTGCTTGGTAAATGCGGAAAAAAAGATTTTATTCGAAACTCAAAATAATATCAATTCGGCAACAATGTGAGTGAGCAAAGAGGAATGGCTGCAAAACAAAATGAGATTTTTCCGTTTCTCTTTTTTTATCATTTTTGGAAACTAAAAAAAAACTAGAAAACTAAACACATTGACTTGAACTCTTTTTTTCAGAAAACTAAAAACAGTTCAGTGTAAGACCACCATAAGACCATTCCATCCATTATTGCATTAGTTGATACTAAGTGAATACTGGTGGATTGTAAGATGTTAATGATTCCAAGATGATGATCATTTTCATTCAAGTTCACAAACATCGTGTGTGTCTGTGTTTGAATCATCATTATGATGATGATTATGATTATATTTAGGTTAGGCTCATATACTTGAGTTTAAAGAAACTATTCCACTGTTGCCATAAATTGTTGTTGTTGGTGTATGAATTTGAGTTAATAAAAAAATGGTAACGCAAAAAAGACTCTCTGCCTTGTTTGTTTGCAAAATTTTTTCAATGTTCTGATGGGAACGATGCGTTTCGAGTTTAGTTTCATTTCCATGTGGATACACATTTCATACATTGGATGTGTGTATGACACACACACACACACACACACACACAAATAGTTTGTTCATTCTTTTATTTATGATTATTATTTTTCTATAGCTACGTAGTTCCAAGGGTATCCTATTCGTTTCTATCTGTGTTATGTAATAAAATAAATGACTAGACCATTAGATCCTATCTTTATGCATTTCCCCTCTCATACCCCTCAGTTTGTTCGTTTTGTTGTTGTTTCCCTCCTGTGTGTCTATAAGAATATTTTGATTGTGAGGGGTGTGAATTGAGTTCTACACACACGCATACAGATAGAATGTTTGTTATGTGTAAGTTCAAATTGCGATTCTTTGAATTTTTTTTTTTCATGAAACTAATAGTTTGATGTTCATGTGTAATAGTGGCAGTAGTAGAAGTAGTACTGGCAGAAATTGTGGTTGTCTTTGTCAAAATGATGATGATGCTGAAATGATTGGTCCTTGGCTTCTGTTTTCAACGAAATTTTCAATGGCTGACTTACTGACTGACTGACTGACTGACTTTTATAAGAATTTCGAAAAACTTGAAAAAGAACAAACAAAACGAACGAAATGGAAAGAAAAATGGCCAATTTCTTTTCGAAATCGTAATATTCAGCTTTTATTATTCTCAGTTCTCAGTTTTTTGGATTCAATAATTTTGGCAAATAAAAATGTGCAATATGTTTTTGTTTCATTTATTTTTTGAAAGTTGGACTTTTCTTGTTTATTATATGCTTATAAATGTTGGCTTCACTTCATTGCATTTTTGAATTTTCTTCATCTCCATGTAATTTCAATTGGAATCGTAGATTTTCAATCACGGTGATTATCAAGTCAAGTTCAACCAGACCAAAAGAACATTATTGTTGTTGTTGTTGTTGTTGTTGTTGAAGATTTGATTCTTCATTTTTCTGGTTTTCATGCACCAAAGTCAAATACACTGAATATATGAATGAATGACGAAAACACTTGTCCAACGAATGTGGATCAAGTCATCCAGTTGTACATGTTGGATCAATACAATCATCAGGCAACTGACAATCAATCCAATTTGAGCATTCAAGAGACCCCTGAAGCTTATTCATTCATTCATTCATTCAACTCAACTCAATAATGGCCAATGATGCAAAAAGGGAGAGAACTCTATTTATTCTGGCCAACAAATATGTTGTACAACTAGAAACCATTAGGTTTGAATCTCTCTCTCTTATAATTTCAATTTCCAGTTGATTGAGAAACAGACATCTTGAATCGAATGGAATGAAATGAACACAAAAACCTGAATGACAATTTAATTAAATGCCTTTCATACATCTATTTTTTAGTTCGACCGAAAACTAGTATGAACGGGTTTTTCCATTTGCGCTACTGTGGTACCGACAAAATTTGTCAAAATCGAAAAGATAAAACTTGAAGATTTAATAACAAATTTCCGATTTATTTTTCTGATCAAATAAAACACCTACACAGGACAAGATAAGCAAGGATGCAACTTGACTACGAAACAAAATTTTATTCAATTCCACCATACAATACGCGCATGACTGAGGATTTTATCTTTCCATGTATCATGGTTTGAACAACAACAACAAATCTATTTATCCCGTTTATGGAAATGGTATTCAATAGCAGTATGCACACAAACTCAACTGAATGAGTAGAAACATTTGATTGAAAAATTCTAACACAACAAGAAATAAAGAATCGAGTGTTGAAAAGTTGAAAAATAATATCCATGTTGTTTTGTTTCCAGGTTATATTCGACATACATAACGACCTGACCATGTTTAGCTGTGACTTTATTTCTATGCTGGTTGTCTCAGCTGAGGCTTTTTTTGCAATTTTCCAAATCCGAAAAAGCAAAAAAGAATTGCAATAAAAAAATGCGAAATAAGTACAAGGAGAGAAAACAATCTTCAGTCTAGAATAGAATCGAAAGTCTGATTCAGAAGCAGCGGACACATACCGTGTTTGTGTGCCAGTGTGTGTTTTTGTCAGGGGTTTTATTTTTAATTTTTTTTTATTCAGAGATTTACTCTCTTTTTTACGTTTTCATCATATTATCATCTTTGTTGGAGAAAATTTGTTTCATTTTTTCCACCTTAAACCTGAAGAAAAGGCAACAGAATCCTTTGAAGTTGTGAATTTCAGTCAAAACAAACGTATAGCTTGAGTTTGGATTTTCTTTTCAGTTTTCAGTTTTCAGTTTTCAGTTTTTTTTTTGCTACATGTTCAATAGTCTTAATGCAATAAAGAGAAAATTTCAAATGCAGCCATTCGATTGGAATTGATTATCTCAAACATTTGAAACTTTTCTCTTTTTCAATGTTGGGAATCGATGTGTTGTATTTTCGAATGACCTCAATTTGAGCACTTGGTTGGTCGTTTTTCCCACGTCTTTGTTTATCTTTGTTGGTAATTCAATTTTTTCTTGACTCGAGGAAATTTTTTTCTTTCTTCTCGAATTTTCCATTCTTTTTCAGGTTTTTCGCTCCATTATCATTAAACGACAATGAATTCCTGAACGAAACCAAAGGATTGACGGTATTCACACTATCAGTTTCCAGTCTCGTTTTTTTCATTTCATTTCATTTTCTCATTTAATAATAATGCAATCAGCATGTGGCAATCATCATCATAATCACCATCACCATCACCATTTCTCTATATTGAATGTATGAAAAATTCCACACAATGGTTACGGCCATTAAATGCTCTTAATATCTATGGCATTTGCTAGTTCCACCGGCAATTGCAGTCTGCCCATTGTGTGCATTTACATTTTTTTCCACCACTAAGAATGTGGTGAACACATTAATTACAATTGATTAATTAAAATAAAGACCAGAATAAATGAAAGTAAATGATGACAGACAAAAGTGATGGATTTTATTATCAAAATGATAGTTTTCCAATCGGATACAATGAATGAATGCACGTTTGCATTCAGCGTCACACAGACCAACGAAATAGAAAAAAGTTTTCGTTTGGATTTCGACTAAATTTCGATTTTTCTGATGTCAATTTTTTCTACTCTTGATTCTAGCATGATGATGGTGGTGGTGACTTTAGGCCAAATTGTAATGATGATGATGACGATGACGATGACTTGTATGTCGTAATGTTTCAAACTTTTTTGTTGCCATCATTTCGAACAGACTAAAACAGAATAAAACAGAATAAAAATGACAAACAAACAAACCAAACCAAACCAAAGGAGATTCGCATCGAAAAAAATTGTCATTATTCACTTACTCACAGTCCGAAAAGTTTCGTCCACGACTGCTATAATATGTTGATGATGATGATGATGATGATTGGTCAAAAAGTTTTTATTTTGTTTTCTTTGATGAAACTTCTTTTTTCACTTTCCACAAACATGAAATGAATGAATGTTGCATGTGCGACGTGGCTTTTATTTTTCTTTGTCGTCATGATGATCATCATGATGATCATATCAGTTGTATAAGTGAGCGGAAAATTTTCCCATTTGGTTCCATGTTTATTTTTTCTATTATTCCTATCATTATCGAACACAAATGCATCACATACAAAGATAATGGACCAAAATTTGAGAATAATGACACTTGTAAAGTGTGTCTGTGTGTGGAACAAACAAACCAACGAAAAAAAAATCATTTGCTCCATGGAACTTAAAGTTGAATTATTATTATTGTATTCAATTACTTGTTTATGTTTGACTTTTGAACACTTTTTTTTCTCCCCATTCATTGTTTTCTAGTCTCGCATCAAAACGAATGAATCAGCAAAATTTTTCTCAACTTTGAATTTTGGTTATTAATATCGGGATTTGTATATGACGCATCTGAAAAAATGAATAATATATCTCATTCTCATTCAATGTATTCAATGTATTCAATAACTTCTTTTCACTTTCCACAAACATGAAATGAATGAATGTTGCATGTGCGACGTGGCTTTTATTTTTCTTTGTCGTCATGATGATCATCATGATGATCATATCAGTTG